TGAGCCTCACCCCAGACCTTCAAGGCTCAGTGGGCAGGGAAAGGGGTTTGCATGCCCCATGCCCATTTTAAAGGGACATAGGCAAATGAACACCACAGTCCATTTCTGCCAAAAGGCAGACTAAGATTTGGGGAGCAGTGGTGTCACCCCATTTAGGGTGTGATCCCCCGGTGTGGTCTGCATTCCCTGCACTGACTTATTGACACCGCTGGTAGTGCATGTGAGCCTCAGTCTCCAGATCCAAAGAAGCAACGCCTTTTTAGGTTCCACCAAGATTTTATTAAGGTCTTGATGTCAAAGGAGACACTGTGTAATGTTTTTGTGATCAGCGGATAGGAGCTTTTCAGCTTGTCTCAACCAGATCAGTATCGTCGTTCATATCACTTTCATTTCATCAAACAGGTCATCATGATCTCCGTCAGCCCCGTTCTCTAGTACTTCAATGTCGAACTCATTTGGTAGGTCTTCTGGAAACCCGTTGATCTCTTTCCATATGGTGTACTTTGCATCCCAGAGGGCTTCTACCATGTCCCACATCCCTGCTTTTTCTTCCTGGAGATTTTGGTCATTATCTCTTAGAGCTATGTACTGTTCCCAGAGAGTCATTTTGTCTTTGCATATTGCCATGTCCTCTTCCCAGAAGGTCTTATCTTTCTTCCAAAAGGCCTTGCACTCCTTCCAGAAAGTCTTGTTCTTTTCTTCAATGTTTTCCATCTTCTCCTGGAGGGACTTGTTCTTCTCTCGCATGTTCTTGTTTTCTTCTTGGAACTCCTTGTTCTTCAACTGGAAGGCTTTGACGATCTCCCTGAAAGATTCATTCCTTTCTTCGAGGGAGGTGATCTCCTCTTCTGTACCTTTAATCTTCTCCTGGAATCCCTCAATCTTCTCCTGAAAGAGCTTCATCTTGTCCTGGAAGTCCATCTTTTTGGTGTGGAAATCCTTGATTTCAGCCATGAAGACCCTGCTCTCCTCCAAAAAGATTTTGATCTCCTCCATGAAAGACTGGTTCTTTTCTTTGAAAGCACAGATCTCTTCCCATAAGGCCTTGACCTTGTTGTCCTCTCGGAAAGAGTTGATCTCTGCCCTCAGATCTTTGCTCTTCCCCCAGAATGCCTTGATCGACTTTTGCAGGGCTGCTCTCTCATCTTTCAAGTTGTGTTGCATGATTTCCTTTTGCAAAGTGGAAGGAAGGAAGGGTGCATGGTGCCAGCTCTCCCGTTTATTGGAGGTTTGGGTAGGACTACCGCCGCTCTTCTTCTCTGGAGATTCTGCATCGTTAGGTACAAAGAATAAACTTTTCTTCCTGGTCTCCATTGGATCACAACTGTGAGCAGAGAAAGAAATGAGAAAGTAACGTAGGCAAAGATGTAATTCTTGGCTGGGTTCCTTTTCAAAGGAAGCAACGAGTCCTTTTCTCTTTGCTATGAGAAAGTTTTTGAAAGGTACATAGTTTCTGTGGATTGCTGGCAATTTGGGACATATCTGCACAAAAATCATGTGTGCCATTTTTATGCAGGAGACAACATTTTCTTTACCGAAAAAATCCCAAAACATTTCCACTCAGAAATAGTGGCTGAAATTCTACATCATGGCCTATGCTATGTTACTTTACACATCTGTAGCAACTTTGCAAAAATGCAGTGAAACCTTGTTAGTTAACTTCAAAAACAAAAGTGCACCCACTAGCAAGAGTGTTTCGGTGTGCATTGGGCAATACTTCCAATGTTGGACATTGGACACGCTTGATGACCATCAAGGACTTCTGATGCACATTGAACACTTGTTGGTGCACATCAGATGCCCATTGGGCACTTGGGATGCACATTGGCTACTCTGTCGCACTCCAGCAATTCCTAACCTCTGTCTGGATGCTCATTAGTGACCATTCACATCAGAGGTATGGGACACCATCCACTCCACAATGGATGCCCGCCCGTATGTTGCAACATCACAGTAGCCCTTTGGTGAATACAGACATTGAGAAACTAGTAAATTCTATTTCCTATACATATCAGCCCACTTAGCTCTGAATTGGATTTGGAATCACTACCAGCTGCGGGATCACTGAAAAGTCACTCACTCTCAGCCCCAGAAAAAAACCCTAATAGGGTTGCCTTAGGATTGCCATAAGTCAGAAAGGACTTGAAGGCACACAACAACAACAGTAGCTGGGGGGGGGGGAAGCAAAAATGAAGGCAGTATTCCCTAAAAGGGATTCAGTGTCTCCCAAAATAATTTTTTCCTTAAGTCCCCAGATTTCTAGCATTGCAGAGAGCGACACCAGAGATTAAATGTAGACCTTCACATCCCCAGCATCTTCTCTCCTACCATCCTTCTCCCTGGAAATATATTATATGGACAGAGTATAAGAGACATGGGTAAGGCTCTAGGTAGCTACTATTAGGCAAGATATACTGCTTCTGGGATCAAGAACAGTATGGCTCAGGGACACCAGGAGGAGAAGGTCTCTTGCATTCATGCCCTGCATGTGGGCTCCAGAAAACAAGAAGTTTATTAGATATGCCTTTGGCCAGATCCAAACTTCCTAATCTTTTAAGATGATTTATATCCCTTCTCCCCAAAAAATAAAATGAGAAAAACATCAAGGTCTCTAAATCCACAACTTTCTAGTAAATGTAGGGTATGGACCAACCTGCACCACCTCCTCCTTCTCCTATGACCAAGACCCCTTTGTTAAGAACTCTGTTTCCAAGGCAGCCAGGGAACATTAACAGAACAAACCTGGAACATCCTCCAGGTCATCATGTTCTATCATCGGAATATAGAGAGTGTAGCTTCTGTCTGTGATGCCCTTTAGAAGCTTGGAGGAGAAGGTGGCACTTGGGTTACCATGACTGGTAAACACAAAGGTGGACTTGGAAGGTACAAAATGATGCCCCCATGAGGTCAAGTGGCCACATCAGGTGGTAGTTATGGGTCATTTCAAAGAACAGTAGAGTGGGGGACTATGTTAGGGTCATCGGACACAAGGGAACTTCAACCACAGAATGCAGACAGCTGTTACGGGTTTCCCTCTGCTGTTCAACATCTGGGAGCAGCCACCCAGAGGGACCTGTTTCCCAGTCCCCACCAAATGAGCCTGGGAAGCCTGGAAGAGGAAGCCCTCCTATACTTCCTAGGAAGGGATGCCAAAGTCTGAGAACAACAGCTTAGCCAAAGAAACCCACAGGGTGACTTTGGGCAGGTCTCTATTTCAACCTCAGAGGAAGGCAAAGCCCCATCTGAACAAATCTTGGCAAGAAAACCCCGTGATAGTTTCACCTTAGGGTAGCCATGAGTTGGAAATTAATTGAAGGCACACAACAACAGCAAATTAAATCCATCAGACAGATAGATAGATAGATAGATAGATAGATAGATAGTGCAGACGTGGCTCCATGATGTTTTTATTTTCCTTCTTAAATGTAAGAGACAGGGATCTCAAATATGCCAGTCCTAAGCCTCTGGGTAATCTTAATCCCTCTGCCTTCATTTGGATACCTGCTCTACAGACTGCAGTGAGTATCCTAATAGTTTCCAGAGAATCTATCTTCCCAGTGGTCTAACTCCTTCTTCCAAAGAGCCATGTCTTCTTTCCACTCAGCCAGCTCTTCATTCCAAAGTTCTGGCTCTTCTTTCAGTGTCTTCTTGATGGTCTCAAAGAGACCCATGACCTTCCTCCAAAGGGTCAGGTTTTGCTCCCACAAACCTGCATTTCTTCCTTTCTTCTTCTCGGAAAGCTCCCTCTGTTTTTGGCAGAAAGCCACAAGCTTTTCTTTTCTGCTCTTGTTTTGCCTCTTTAGGTTCTCCATGGCATCATGAAGGGCCTTCTCCTTACTGCTCAAAAATTGAGCACCCTGATGGTCCATCAGGTCCTGCAGTTTCCTCCGTTAAACCCAAGGCAGTTCTAAAAGTAATGTGGAATCTCTTTTCCTTGGCAATACCCTTCTTGGGAGACAAAGGTTGGTGCTGACCAAAGCAGTCTTCAGAAAGAGTCAAGATTATCTGATGACTTAAAGTAGAAGGGAGAAAAACATAAATAATATTAAGTATCATTTCCTCTATAGAAAAATGCTATTTTTGGTGCAAAACAACCACATGAGAATTTTGTGCAGATTAAGTCCCAAATTGCAAAGGTTCTCATCAGTCCAGGGTTGCTGCCATATTGCAGAATAAATGTATGATGCTTTAACTGCCATGGCTCCATCCTATGGAATCCTTGAATCTGTAGTGGCACCAAAGCTCTCTGACTGAGAAGGTTGAATAGCTCCCAAAAACTACACATCCCAGAATTCCATAGCATTGAGCCATGTCAGTTAAAGCGGTATCAAACTGGATTAATTCTGCAGTGTAGCATCATCTTGGGACATGGACCGATAGATGCCAATTACAAGACTTTCGTAATGGTGAGAACTGTTCAACAGCAGAACAAGTCCTCTCAGAAGGTGATGGACTCTCCTTCGTTGGAGGTTTTTAAACAGGTCAACTGTCCACCTGTCAAATACACTTTAGCTGTGGCTCCCTGCACCAGCATTGGGTTGGATTAAATGGCCTTTGAGATCCCTCCCAACTCTATGAGTAACTTCTTTGGCAATGTCTTCTACAGAGGTCAATCAATATTATTTTCCCTCCTCTAACCAGTATTCTCAGCAAACTGATTCTATATATTAAGATATAACACTCACTCGCTGGATACTCTTGCAAGATGGCTGATGTTCAGAAACCATGGTCTCCAAGAGCCTTGTGTCATCTTGGTGGTGTCTGTTGTGTCATCCTACCTTGAGATGAGGGGGGCCCATAGGTGTCATTGTAACTCC